GTGTGTGTGTGTGTGTGTGTGTGTGTGTGCGCCTGTGGCCGTAGAGCAAGGCATATTTGTTCCAGACCTTGGGTTCTGAGCAGATTCACCCGGTCTGGATCAACATAGTGGACCCAAAAAATGGGAAATCACTTTTGGACTACGCTGTTTGTCCAGGCGCCCGGGCATCGAAATTGTGCCCGGATACATGCCCAGGTGCCCGGCCGGCCATGAACCCGGGGCACAGGGGTTCAGGCAGCCCCAGTGCCAAAAAAACAAAAAACAAATCATACATTTTAAATTTCCAGAAAAAAATATTTTGTAAAGAATTGCAATGCAAACGACTTTGGCTGAGGGTCACATCAGAATTCCTCACGGAATCAAAGATCAAAAAAAAAAAAAAAAAACAGAATCAGAGTAAGGCACCCCCCTTTATACACCTTGAGCCCCTTAAAAAACAATTTATGTCCCGCTCCCACCCCCTTGACAGCCAACACTCGAAAAAAGAAAGGAGCCAAGATTTGCGCTCCTCTGGACATGTGCAGAAAACCCCCACCCAAAAAAAAAAAAAAAAAAAAAAAGGGGGCTGATTTTTACCTGCACGTGGTGCCCCGTGCAGGTGACCCCTGGGCGACTTGCCCGGGCTGCACGGCCAGGCGAGTCAAGTAGCCTAGCTGTTGGAGGGGCCGCCCTTGTTGTTCTCACAATTGCTCAGGAAAGGATTTTGCTTGTCCCCATTTCCAAAGAAAAGATTCATTCTCACATGCTAACCTCAATCCTGATCATCTGTGTGAAACCTGCTTTCATTCCACTCTTCCAGTGTTATGTCAGGAAGGGGACAAGCCCTCAGATGTGTATTTTGTCAAGGAGGGAAGCCTGTCGCTAAGGATCTCTCTGAAGGGCCTCCTGGAGTCCAATCCTTCACTGGTAATGCTTCATCAACTGAGGTGGTACCCTTATTGCCAGGTTTTTCACTTCGTACAAAACTGAAGCAAAATAAAGTGTAATAACTCAGCTCATGTCTGCATAAGTCAAGGCTGTAGGTCGTCACTTCTGGTCGAAGGCTTCTAACAGGGGTCAAAAGTCCCACCTTAAGCCCCGGCAGCACCTGAGCTAAGGCCTGATGCCGAGGGGTACCAAGGGCAGGGCCAAAACCGGCCTTCAAAGGCCCTACATGCAACAGTTGACTTAGGGAAAGTGAACGGTCAACTCCAGCTCGGGAATCCAGGCCCGAAGTCAAAGTCGACCCGCTGGACAGTCCCGGCCATAGATCGGATGCACATCTTTGGTTGTCTGCAGGTACCCAGAAGAATCTAGCCCAGGTGGGACACGAGGGAAATCTGCAACCGTACGACGTCCAGGCCATTGGCTGACGGGAGATCTGGGCCTTCGTACCCTGGCGATCAGAGGCTGGTCAACGTCTGTCAACTCTATAAAGTTGACCCAACCCCTGATATGATCATTCAGTCTTGTGCGTTCTGCTTGATGCTGGCTTGACGCTAGTGCGGCGACGTGAGGCTACGGAAGCTTTACGCTGGCGCCATCTTCTGCGTGCGGGCCCCAGCCTTGAGGGCATTATGCTGACGTGGCCATAGCCACATTGATTCCAACATTGATGGAGTGTGGGCGAGGAGGAGGAGGATCTGGACTGTGAGATTGGTCCGATTGAGGAGGGGAAGCTTACCTGGACGAACCTGTGTCGACGTGTGCACTTTGCTGTTCGTCTCCAGGAGGAAGATCTGCTCCATCCTCCTTGGCCGCGGCTGACGTGCTGGAGGATGGGCGCCCTGTTGTGACCTGCTTGTTATCAGAGATCGTCAGGGAGAACTGATTGCTGACGTGGCGAGTTGGGAGGTAATGCCCAAAGAGGAAGTGGGATAGTGAGGGCTTCTCTGCTTCGCCGATTTCGGTGGAAGCTCTCTCTCTCTCTCCTCCTCTAAGTCTCTCCTCCCTCTCTCCTCGTTCTCTTCTTTGAGTTCGAGACATTGGGATACAGCATGTATGACGAGTATGGCTACAGGAACGATTTTTGGAGACATCAATTCTGCACTATGAGAGACTTGTCTTTCAACATACACGAGCTTCTCATCTGACTGGGTTCATTGCAAAAGCACCATATATTGGCATATAATGCATACATACGATTAAAACTGCAAAACACCATCGCCCAGCAGCACTGAGCATTAGACAGTTGTGTAACTTCTTATGTTCCGCTGCCCATATATAGGGCTGGGTAGCGTGCCCATGAGCTGGTGTGTTTCATGATTCTATAGCACAAGGCTTGAATTGCCAGTGTTTCCCAACCCTCTCTTCCCAATGTGGATTTTTGGACGCTGTTAAGAAATATGAACGGATGCAATGCAGTATGTGATTTGCCTGGCACCGCCACCCTTTTTCCGATGGGCTTTCCTTGCCTTTCCATTGGCCCCGTGTCAACTGGCTAGCAGTTTTCCAAAGGCTGGGATGACCACTGGTGCTCTAGGGGCCCTGTTTTTCTTTTCCTCAGAAAAGGGCCCTCCTGAACCCTTCTATATTCTATTCTGGGGACATAAGGCCCCTACGTTGACATGTGTTCATGTCCAGAATCACTGGTGCAGACTATCCATCTGATATCCAAAACACAACTTGCTGATGTACACTGTTAACTGGTGCCCAGATGGGTGACGAGGCTAGCCTAGGAGACAAAGAAGAAGAAGATGGCATGAGCTTTTATTTCATGGTGCTGTCAATCTTCCTCCCTATGTTACCTCAATGCACACTGTCGAGGAACCCAATCCTTCTGCTCATACATCACTGAGATTGAGGGTATTGTCTACAATATTCTCCTTTTTTATGTTATTCTACAGTTTTCTACTACTGCTTCTGGTAGTCCAGCAATTCAAGCCATTCGTGCGGCCGCTCGCTGGGCCCTTCTATGGTAGCCCCTTATGGCTTTAAAAAAACCCTCAAAACCCGCCATCAACAAAATTACGGCCTGATACTTCAATGTTAGGCCTTCAGCGGACTACTATAGGGTGCAACACCCCTGTTCTGATAGCCGCGCACTTCGGAAAACATAAAAATGTGAGGCCACAGCCTCGACGAGGCCCTTTCAGGCCCTGTCAAGCAGCACGTCGGCCGCCCTAAGTGAAGGCAGGCTCGACGAGGACCTGAGGGCCCCTATTTCGGCCACCACGCAACTAAGGAAATTCAGGAAGTTGCACATCGCCAGTTGGTTGAAGGAACCCAGGCCCTGGGCCGCCTGTTTGCATGTATCGAAGGCAGGCCCTGGGCTGGATACGGGATGTGGGCCAAACACAGGCCGAAGGCAGTTGGGCACAGGCAACCACCTCAGGCCCTGGGCCTGATTTGTCTCGGACTGGGCCTCAGCCTACCGGGGCCTACCGGAAGCTTCTTGGGAAAGGCCCAGCGCAGCCTGGGACAGAACGCAGGCAGGCCACTTCCATATAGCAAAGGGCCTGCCTCCGCATTAGACATTCGGGTGCTGGCTGCATGCTGCGCAAGCGCTGCTGCGCTGAAGCTGGCTAGCGCTCACGCGCTCACGGGCGAGCTGGAAGGAGCAGGCAGCCATAGCCGAGCTGYGCTGCTGTGAGCTGGGTGTGGCGCAGGGTGGTCCTTGGGTGCATGTGGCATCTGTGTGTTGRGGAACGAGGTTGTGAGTGATGCGAGAGACATACCTGGTGCTGGAAGCGTGCGGCATTGGCCGCTATCTGCTCGTACTTCGGGAGAGCTGTTGTCGTCATCTTCGGCATTGTAGTATAGGCTAGATAGGATCTGCCATCTGTAGTCTGGGCGCCGAGCGCCAGATAGGATATCAACATTGGTTCTTCGTTGGTGATGATGATGATGATGAGACTATTCCGGCATTGTCAATTATGAGCTTTTGGTGTACTCTTATTTGGTGAAACTCGTGATGCAATTCTGCTCTTGGTTCGAGGTCACGACTATCTGGTCTTATGTGTATGATGCTGTTTGATTGCTGAAATTCGCTATTGCTCATCTTCCTTGCAATTTGGTATCGGAGCTGTGGTACGTTGCGCTCATCTGGCGCTTGTCTTCTGCCTATGCGGTACACACATGCGGTCTGCTTGGTGAGTGAGGCCGTAGGCGGTGTGTAGTGAGGAGGGCGGAGACAAAGTGTGGCGACCCAGGAGGAGAGGGGAATCGCCAGGAAGGCTACGGTGTGTATATTGGGTGTTCGCAGTGTGATGAGAACTATCTGGTGGTTGATTGATGCTGAGGTGGAACAACGAGATAATGCTGGTTGTGCCGATGCAGTGACTGGTCATCGCAATCGCCATCAGGTCATCTGGTGAGAATATCTGTGGTTGGGGGCAGCTATATCGAGGTACGGTGCTCTTACCTTATCTACCCTCTTCATCATTTCTTACCGTGAGGTTGTGAGTTTCTTCTTGAGAGTCCTCTCATGTGAGGTGTCGTGTGCGCTCAACCTTGAGAGTCGGCATTGTTCACGTGGAGCATCAGGAAGGAGAGGGCGGTGCTTTTTGAAGGGCCCTGGACGGAGCACTGGGTCACGGTCACCATGCCAACCCACCGGGAGTAGAGCACGCATGCTTTGCTGCTTTGTCCTTGTCTGCTTGCTGCGCTCATAGAAGGGGTACTGAAGGGCAGGCCAGCCCTATGGGAGAGACGAGTACCGGGCGTCTATAAATAAACACCGGCTGGGGAAACCATTGGCTGTGATCGTCGTCCTGCTGCGACGTAAAAAATAATTCCTGATGACACTTGGGGGCGGTCGTTAAATTGCCTCTGGATCAGCCAATTGGTGTAAGGCTCGCTGCACGCGAGGATAAACACAGTGCAGGGCTGGCCAGCTCAGCAGCTACTCGGTGCAGAGGAGTGGGCCGTGTGCACACCTTCGGTCACGCACGCCAAACCGGATTGCTTAGGGACGCTGACGTCAAGTGACAATCAAGGGGAATTGGGGACGGGGTAGATTCCAGGTGATAAATTTGAGTAAGATCCCATGCTGCAAACAGACCCAACAAATGATGTTATTTTTATTTTGATTAGTTAGATGTACTGCCCTTGACATCTGACAGACAGCATAGTTTAGAACTGATTCTGTTCATTGTGCTTTCCGTTTGCGAACTAGTCAACGTAGAATAGTATCATTTGTAGGAATCTGAACTTACCTATTGATCGCAAATGTGTCTACTCCGAAAAAGTCACCGATTAATTATTTATTTATTTTAAATTGGTCTGGGCATTACGCTATGGTAGGCACCTAGAGTAGTCTAGTGCAGATTGTGCCTCGTACTGTAGCTTATGAGCGACAGGGAAGAACAACAACCGGACGACCGGATCTTGCGATCAGCAAGGCGCCCAATAGCCCACGTGGCATTAGGACCGGAGGGCGGCAAATATTTGTTCCGCCAGCTTAGAGAAAGGCAGCAGCAACAGAGAAGAGCTAGGGCCGCAGAGGCAAGCAGGGCATTAGTAAGCGTGGCCGCTTCTTCAGCAGTCATGGCCACTGCTGTGCAGCAGACTTCTCAGGCCGGTAGTTCAGGTTTTGTAGGGTCAACGGTCGCACAGACCCTGAGTCAGTCGGCTGGAGTTATGGCAAGCCAGCCATTGGTGTTGTCACCCGAGGAGATCGCCATACCGCAGGCTGCCCTGCAGGAGGCACAACTACAGAAGGCTCTAGGAGAGATAAAAGCGGAAAAGGAAAGAATGATTAGAAGAAGAGCTAGGATGCAGCAGAGGCAAGCGAACGTTAGTGAGTTAGAGGAGATGGACCTGACGCACATGAGTGACGATGTGAGGACCATACGGTCCGTCCTGCTAGATGTAGTTGAAATGCAGGACCACCAGACGGCTCTCCTTCAAGACATTCAGCAGAGTCTGGCCTTGTTGGTTGGGCGAGAGCAGGTAACACCATCGATGTCTGGGCCTGGTGCCTGGCCAATTGTACAGCTTCCTCCTTTTGTCCCACCGGTGACTGGGTTATCCCCATATACCGCTCCAGCATCGGTCCAGACCGTTTCACTGGGAATGCCGTTAACAGGAGGGTTTTCAGCAGGTCCTAGTTTACAGGTTCATATACAGACAGTGTTCACCCAACCTCCGTCGCAGGTTGCCGTAAGCGTGCAGCCTGCTGTCTCGCAACCTGTACAGCCGCAGGGTACACAGCCCCAGCAGCAACAGGTGCACCAACCTGTTCCCCAGGGTCCACAGCCCGGTGTGATGCAGGGGCCGGGACAAAGTCAGTGGGTACCAAAGACGACCATCGCCGCTCCGAAACCCTTTACAGGGGATAAGAGGGGTGAAGACCTCGACACTTGGTTGAGGGCAGTGTCGGTCTATGTCAAGTGCAAACTTACTTTGCCACACGAGGAAGTGCTTGTGGCTGCATCCTACCTAGAGGGTAGTGCAGCAAGATGGTTGAGTGGTTTAGTGCAGCTGCAGGGATACGGTCATGACTTCCGCACTTGGGAAGCCCACCAGGAACTGGAGGACTTTCTCAAGATGGTGGAAGATAGGTGGCACGATCCTCAGGAGGCCCAAAAGGCCACTGACGCGATCCTGACACTGCAAACGAGGCAGTTCAAGTCAGTAAGAGAGGCCACTAACGCTGTAGAGCGTCTGATCTGTGTCCCTGGGGTGTGCTATGACCCCCAGGTCTTACTCACCTCCTACCTGAGATGCTTTCCCATGCCTCTCAGGAATCAGTTGGCAGGTGAGGCCAACATCAATATGCACAACTTCCCCTCGTTTAGCACGAAGGCCCTAGACCTTGAAGCGAAGATAGGGCATGGACATAATCCCACGACGGATGGTAGGAAGAAGACTCTGCCTCCCAACTGGAAGGCGAAGGGACGCATTATGTTCGTCGACAAGGATGGTTCTACCATCGAGTTGGACGACGAGTTCCAGGCGGGAGTAGGTTCAGAGGCTGTCAGTGTAGAAGCTTCAGGGGGTGGTGTAGTTGCCGCCGTAACTCAAAAAGGTAAGGCGACCGGTAGACGCCGTGGAGGTTACCGGTCTAGGAGTCAAGTTGACCCCAATGCTCCCCCATGGGAGAAAGCGGGGCTCACTGAGGATGTGTGGAGAGACAGGTACACCAGGCAGGCCTGTATTCGTTGTGGCCAATATGGCCATAATCAATTCAAGTGCCGCAACAAGAAGGCGACCGAGAAGATCCCGCCTAAGATGGGGCAGGCGTTGGGATCCTCCACTCCCGTTGGTAGCAATGTGGCTAGCACTTTTGGCACTGCTCCGGGAAACACGTCGGACGAGTAGGAATAGTAACTGTTCCTGCTAGGGTCGAGGTGGTGGATACACCCTCACCATCTTGAGAGATGCCCCAAGCTACTGACTCCATCGTCATCCCGCAAACACGTTCAGACCCATCGAGCCTCTGTTCGATGAATGTGTTTGAGTCCTTAGAGGAGCTGGAGGAGGAGTGGAATAGATCAGACCCGCTAGCTTCTTGGACGGCATTGGCCAAAGCCCCTAAGGGTGAGATGTTCGTCAGTGAGGTGGTTATTGGCGGCCGCAAGGCCGGGGCCTATTATGACACTTGCTCGACACGGAACTTCATTAGTCGCGCGTGCGTTGAGAGGCTGCGTTTACAAGGGCGAGTGCAGCGCCTGAGTCGACCTGTGGAGTCGACCTGTGGAGTCGACCTGTGCCAACAAACAGCGCATGGTAGTCAATGACTACCTCCAAGATGTGGAGTGTTGTTTCCCGTACGCCGGAGGGGAACTGAGACATCGCGTCTCGTTCCTAGTGAGCGATGAACTCCCCATGGATATGTTGTTAGGTATGTACTACCTCTCTCTGGCACAGCCCCAGTTTGACTGGGACCGAAAAGTGGTCAAACACACTTTGCCAGGTGGAGGAACCGCCAGATTACGTAAGTTTAAGGCTAGTAGTCTGATTGAGTCCTACGGGTGCATGTGTGCGGCCGCGTTCTACAATTACTATAAGCAAAATCAGGAGGAGGGTATGTATCTAGTTTATGTCTCTGCTACAGGCGAGCCGGTGAAAATGTCACCGGAGATAGAGGGAGTGGTTGCTAAATACCCTGATCTATTTGAAGAGCCGACAGGGGTTGTTGAGAGGGAGGTCGTCCACGCGATAGAGATTATCCCAGGGTCTACCATCCTAAAGGGTAGGATCTATCAGATGTCTCCAGGCGAGCTTGACAAGCTTCGCCGACAACTCAAGGAACTCGTAGAAAAGGGATGGATTCGACCGAGTGTTTCTCCTTATGGTTCACCAGTCCTATTCGTACCAAAGAAGAAGGAAGGAACACTTAGGATGTGCATTGACTATAGGGGCCTCAATGCCATCACTGTTCAACAACAGAGAGCCCCTACCGCGCATCGATGACTTGCTATATAGAGTGCAAGGGTGTCGGTACTTCGGTAAGATAGATCTGAAGTCCGGGTACCATCAGATTGCAATCCGGCCCAAGGATCAACACAAAACCACCTTTCAGACCAGGTACGGTCTGTACGAGTTTGTGGTGATGCCTTTCGGCCTTTGCAATGTTTCTGGCACCTTTCAGCACGCTATGAATCGGATATTTCACGACTACTCGGATAAGTTTGTCATTGTGTACCTCGATGACATACTTATTTTTAGTAAGACTGTCGAGGAGCACGTTGCGCACTTGGACAAAGTCCTGAGTCTTCTGCGACGACACAAGTTCAAGATCAACGGTGAGAAGTGCGAGTTTGGCCGCACCCGTGTCTTGTTCTTGGGTCATGAGATTTCCGCGGAGGGGTTAAAGCCCGATGACGCGAAGGTGGCCAGCATTCGTGACTGGCCGCGTCCTCAGTCTGTGACTGAGATGAGGTCTTTCTTAGGGATGACCGGCTACTATCGCAATTTTGTGAAGAACTATAGCATAGTTGTCGCCCCTTTGATTGACCTAACTCGCCTTGACACCCCGTGGGAGTGGACAGACAGATGTGAGGCTGCTTTCAGACATCTGAAGCATGCGTTGACGCATCATGAGGTCTTGAAACTTCCTGATCCTGACAAGCCATTTATAGTAACTACGGATGCTAGCCAATATGGCATAGGCGTCGTACTTGCACAGCAGGAGGGGAAAAAGTTGAGGCCGGTAGAGTACATGTCCAAAAAAATGCCCTCTCAGAAGTTGGCTAAGTCCACCTATGAGAAGGATCTCTATGCGATCTACAAGGCGCTCACCCATTGGAGGCACTATCTCCTTGGGAGGTTCTTCTACGTCAGGACTGATCATCAGACCCTGAAGTGGATGAGAACCCAACATGTGCTCTCCGACGCTCTGAAGCATTGGATTGAAGTCATAGAGCAGTATGACTTCGAGCCCCAATACATCAAGGGCGAGTACAACAAGGTTGCTGATGCGTTGTCATGTAGACCTGATTTCTCAGGTGCGCTGATTACTGAGTTCGATCTTACGGACGATGTTACTCGCTCCTTGGTGGAAGCCTATCGCGAGGACCAGTTCATGTCTGAGATCATACGCAGACTTGAGTCGAGGGATGAGAAGACTTCTATTGAGTTTGAGTTGGTCAACGGCTTGTTGTTCCTTGAGAAGGCAGGGAATAAACGGTTGTGTGTCCCAAATAGAGAGTCTTTGCGTAGTTTGTTTTTAACTGTCATGATGCCACCGGCCATTTTGGCTATAAAAAAAACAGCAGCCAATCTGCTGCAACAGTTCTAGTGGCCCACGATGATGCGAGATGCCCAGCTGTACGTGGAGACTTGTCAAGTCTGTCAGAGGGACAAGCCACGTACTCAGGCTCCTCTTGGCCTCCTGAAGCCCCTTCCGATTCCAGAAAGGCCTGGTGAGAGTTTGTCCATGGACTTCATGGATACGCTGGTAACCAGCAAGAGCGGGATGAGACATATCTTCGTCATCGTGGATAAATTTAGTAAGTATGCTAGGTTGATAGCCATGCCAGAGACTGCAAAGACCGATTACGTAATCAGACTTTTCAAGGAAAACTGGGTCAGGGATTTTGGTCTGCCTAAGTCCATCGTGAGTGACAGGGATGTCCGATTCACCAGTGAGTTGTGGAAGGCCGCTGCTGCCGAACAGGGAACACGGTTCGAGATGACCTCTGGGAATCACCCAGAGGCCAATGGCCAAGCCGAGCAACTGAACCGCGCTGTACAACACCTGCTGCGGCATTACATCAAGCCCAATCAGGTGGACTGGGATGAGAAGCTTGCTCTCATTGCCAGCCTGTACAATAACGCTGTACATAGCGCCACCGGGGTGAGCCCAAGCAGTTTACTACTGACCTTCAAGCCTAGACTGCCCTTAGATTTTCCCCTTCCTGAGAACCAGCCAACTGCTGCACCGGGTACCTTAGAGTTCGCCTATCGTTACGAACAGAAGATGCAGCAGGCCGTAGAACAGATGCAAAAGGCACAGGCGGCAATGATAGAATCAAAACAGACACCGCCGCCCATCTACATTCCAGGTTGGGGACAGAGTCTGGGTTAAGTCCTCAAAATTGGGACAGGAGCACGGGATCTCCCGCAAGCTCATGCCTCAATACTTTGGACCATGGGAGGTCTTAGACGTTGTCGAGACTGATCCGGATGGGCCGTCTTATGTAATCCGGATCCCTGGTCATCTCCGCACATATCCTGTCTTTCACGCCTCTAAGCTTGCACCTTTCAAGGAAACAGACCAGTTCCCCTCACGTCGCTCAATGCTGCCCCCAACCATGGACGGAGAGGTGGACATCGATGACATCGTGGATCACAGGGAGCTGCCAGTGCCAAGACCAACCGGCAGGGGACGTCCTCCGAAACTGAAGCTGCAGTACCTCGTTCGGTTCCGGCATCATATTGATCCAAAGGAAGATCGATGGTTCACCAGGGAGGAACTCATGCAGACCGCTCCTCAGTTTGTAGCCCAATACGAGAAATCTCTGCAGAAGGGAAAGCGCCCGATGAGTGAAGACTGAGCTTCTCAGAGGACTGTTGAAGCTATGGAGGAGGGAATGCGAGGCCACAGCCTCGATGAGCCCCTTTCAGGCCCTGTCAAGCAGCAAGTCGGCCGCCCTAAGTGAAGGCAGGCTCGACGAGGACCTGAGGGCCCCTATTTCGGCCACCACGCAGCTAAGGAAATTCAGGCAGTTGCGCAGCGCCAGTTGGTTGAAGGAACCCAGGCCCTGGGCCGCCTGTTTGCATGTATCGAAGGCAGGCCCTGGGCTAGATACGGGATGTGGGCCAAACACAGGCCGAAGGCAGTTGGGCACAAGCAACCACCTCAGGCCCTGGGCCTGATTTGTTTCGGACTGGGCCTCAGCCTACCGGGGCCTACCGGAAGCTTCTTGGGAAAGGCCCAGCGCAACCTGGGACAGAACGCAGGCAGGCCACTTCCATATAGCAAGGGCCTGCCTCCGCATTAGACATTCGGGTGCTCGCTGCATGCTGCGCAAGCGCTGCTGCGCTGAAGCTGGCACGCGCTCACGGGCGAGCTGGAAGGAGCAGGCAGCCATAGCCGAGCTGCGCTGCTGTGAGCTGGGTGTGGCGCAGGGTGGTCCTTGGGTGCATGTGGCATCTGTGTGTTGAGGAACGAGGTTGTGAGTGATGCGAGAGACATAC